TCTTCCCAAAAAGTAATTCGAAAGGTGTTTTATCGCCGGTGTTCACATTCGGGATTCAGTTATGAATAAAGCCAGCAGTTAGGTAGGCGAAACACCAAAAGAACTTTGGTAGTTTTGACGCAATCAGCATGGTTCGACCCATGTCACCAATCGTCCTGATGGAGCGTTCAGCAACACCGTTTTGATTGTGTTCATACGGAAGGGTTTTTTCTTTTGCGATGCCATGAGCTTTGAGCCAGTTAAGAAAAGTTGCTGAGTTAAATTCACCGGCGCCATCAGTTCGTAGTTGCTTGACCTTAAATGATGTCTGACGTTCCATCTTGAGAACAAATTCCTGAAAAACACTTGGTGCGTGATCTCTTGATTTCAAAATCATAACGTCGGTAAAAGTTGTAGCCAGGTCTCTAAAGGTGATCATGTACTTAAAACCAAATAACTCTCCATCAAAAGGACCAGCAATGTCCGAAACAATTAACTCAAGCGGTTGGGGCCGTTCTCTTCCCGACGGACCCATCGTTTGATGTCGGAGGCTCTTGCTAATCAGACAGTCAGGGCATTGAAACGGTGCGTTCACTAAATGCTCGGGAAGTCCTGTCGTCATTTCTTTACTTAGCAGCCTTTTGATCACTCTAAGACCTACATGTCCGAAGCGCTTATGCCATCTCAAAGCTTCATTGCTCTCCTCTTTCGTAAACACTCGGGCACGGCAAGACGAAACATGAGTCTGACAGGCAGGTGGTTTTGGTGGGTTTGTGATGAGAGGAACTAGCCATCGGCGATTCTTGTATTTCGACGTTAATGTATGAGATCCAAAAGACAAAGATAAATCATAGCCGGAAAAAGAAAAAACATATCCATCCTCCACCAGAGCTGCCATGGAAATAAGGGTTCCTTTCGCTCTTTCACAGTAATACACATCCTTGATTTTAATAGATGCACCCGAGTCGCTTTTGAGGATGAACGACCCGATTCCTGTGAGAAAGTTGCCTTCAGATTCTGTTGCAACATGCAGTGGGATTGGGGATCGAAGATGAGTGTAGTTGAGCAAAGCACCCACCTCATTTGTGACATGGTGCGTCGCTCCTGAGTCAAGTACCGCCTCTCCCACGTTCCAATCTTCGGTGACAGATGCCTCGCTACTGTAGACCGAGTGAGGTAGTGGAGATGACGCATCGTAACCGTGAGACGCATCAGCCATGTTCGCTCTGAAGGTACCTCGGGATGACGATTGTTGAGAGAGTTCTTGTCGAGCGAGCTCGGGATCGTAGTTTGGTGACTTGGGGCAGAATGGTGTTTTAGACCAGTGCTCACCACCACAATCGAAACAGTTCTTCAGATGAGCTGGAGTGTTCGGTCCAACCCTGAAGTTCGACTTTGAAGGGTATGTTTTGCCTGAACTCTGAGTCGGAGTTTGGTAACGTCTTTGAGATGACTGACTTGCATGCGTTTGTACTCTAGATCTTGTGGCATAATTATGTCCTCGATCATTGATGTTTAAAGCGGAGATGTTCGGTAACAGATCTATGGCCGAGTCCGCCAATCGATAAGTCTCGTTACGGATTGCTTCTTCAGTCTCTCGAGATGAGATTGCTGTATCAGGGTTTGTGCGTAATCTGGAGTCTAAGATCGTGTTAACGTTGGCAAATTGTTGAGATAATCCGAGCTGCATAACGATGCTAAGAAAGGAGTCCTTAGTAAAAGTGAAACCGGTGCGTTGTAATTCTTCAACCTTAGCTTTCATCTTCGACAGGTGAGCTGCCACCGCATCTGGTGAATCGACTTTAGATTGAAGTATCTCTTTCCATAAGCTGAGATGAGTAGAACGAGTAGGAAAATGAAATAATGATTTTAGGCGATTGAAAACGGTAAAAGCTGATTCTTTCGGGTCGACTTGTAATCTGAGTGTTTCGCATACTGAGACCCTTATCATCTGAGTTATCACATCATCACCAGTAGTTTGCTTTCTATCTTGATCTAGGTAATCGGGAATCTTGGTTATAAAATCAATTAAAACATACAAGTCATTTTTCCAGTGTAAATAGTTCGATCCATTCTCATCTAGCGTGGCAACAGCCTTGTTAACTAGAGTGGGCATTTTAACAAAGAAGTCCATCGAGGTGTAATGATCGGAAACTTGGTGAGGTGGTGGATCTTTAGACATATCTGAAACAGTAACTTGTGAAATCTGGGTTTTTAAATCTGAATGTTTTGAACTCGAAACTAGAACTGAGCTGTTTTCTAAATCTTCTATCTTGATATCTGAACTTGAATCTTTTAACTTGATATCTGAATCTAAATCTTCTTGCCCTTTGGAGGGTAGCAAGTCAACGTCCTTATCGGAGTCGGAATCGGGATTGGTTTTGTTCTCGGGCACTTGGGTGTCGTCGTTGTTATCTGAGGGTTTCTTTTTAGAACCTGAACTTCTGGTTATCATCGATCGTTCAAAAAATTTTAAGCAGAACCGTTCATCTACAACAAACTACAGCTGGTATCACAACTGGGACTCAAAACCTGTTAAAGCTAAAGGTCAGCGCTCGTCGCTTCACCCGGTCCGAGAACTAATCCAATCTTCGATAGTATTGCAAGAGGTTACTAACCTGTTAAAGCTAAAGGTCAGCGCTCGTCGCTTCACCCGGTCCGAGAACTAATCCAATCTTCGATAGTGAAGAAAGGAAAGAACCGGGTGGAGCGAGGCTATATAAGTGATCTAACCTAACCCCGCTACAAGGATATGCTACTACGTATACAGGATTGTAGTCTAGGACTGTAACACACATATAGGCTTCAACAGTTAAGAAGTCTTTTCAAGTTCATTTGTCATTCGATAATTGAAAAGACTAAAGTAGACTGAGCTCAGATAGAAATATACAGAGTAGTGAGTATCTGTGAGAATTGTGGAAGTGGATGACAGTTAAAATTAAAATTTGATTGGATTCAGTAAATTCTACCCGTTTAAGTCAGTTCGAAACAGAATATGTATCAAAATAAAACCACTTAAAAAAACTTAAGCTTAGCTTCAACGACTCACCATTTAATTTACTTAATCTTCACCACAGCTGTTTGATAAATTTTTGGAATTTGGTTTCCTTCTTCAATTTCCAACCAATCTTCTTTACCTTTTGCTTCTTCTTTACCCTTCTTTACCTTTTACTACTTCTACTTCTTCTTTACCTTTGCTTTACCATTTAAATTTTAAACATCATGAATTCAACCCATCAAGATCCCAGTTCAACTTCTTCAACTTCTTCAACTTTTTCAACTTCACCAACTTCAACTTCACTATCTTCAACTTCATCTTCAACTTCATCTCATCATAATCTTAATTCTACTCTCATTCCTAACCATTCGACTCATCAAACCACAACTCAAAACAATAACAATACTATCATCGATATCGATCCCAATCAAAATCAAACTCAAAGTCAAAATCAACTTCAATCTCAGTCTTCAATTCCAATCCCAACTACTTCTGCTTATCTTCATCATTCTCATCATCATCATTATTATCATCACCATCATCTTCAAGAACCCTCAGCTCGTACCAACTCTTTGGATCAATTACTCAATTTACACTTACCAGCTAATCATCAACTCATTAATCAACCTTATTCTTCTCCATCTGCTCCATCACACCAGCCTCACCATCACATTCGAGATCCAGAAGAAGCCGATGACGACGATGCTGAAGATGATGAAGAAGACTCCTCTTCATCCTACGTACCTCGCTCTTCACTAGTGGTCGAAGATTATGATGAAAGAGGCTTTGGTTCCTCTGCTGAATCTGATGTTTCTTCATCTGGCATCTTAGACGAACCTGGTGAAACCACTCGAATGTTGAAGAGAAAGAAATCAAATCCGATTTTGGAACCCTCCTCTGCTTCATCTCGTGCAGAGAGTCCAACTCCATTACCTTCACTCTATTGGTCATCATCTCAATCCAATACATCAGTTCCACTTAACCCTCATCATCATTCACAAGGAACTCCCTCTAACATTGGCGAACCTGATTACTTGCTAACGGACGCTTCTAGCACTTGTCTTGCTCAACTTGGAGATCCTCATTCTTCTCTCCCAAACAATCCATCATCCAACGTTCTGGTCAACGATGGTCATTCTAATCGTTATCATTCTCAATACTTTCATTCGTCAGTCTATGTTTTCTTTTCCATCAAGCTGCTTTTGAACATCTTTTATTCAAAGTCTTTTCCATCCGAAATTTTATTTGTAGGCATCACTATAGGACTTCTGCCTTACCCAGGAAAAATCCGTCACATCTTCCAACCCACTATGCGCCATCTCAATCCTCTTTATCTGGTGTTGAATCCTTGACGCCTCACGGTATCTCTAATACTACTACTGATTCGCCACGTCGCTCGAAGCGAGGCTGGTTTTCTTCACGTCGTCAGAAACGCAAGAATTCGATTCACGCTCTTAGCACATCTTCTCTCTCTTCTACCTCACTGCATTCTCCACCCTTTCATGACACCAAACAGGAATTTCATTCAACAAAACAACACGAGTACAAATATCCTAACTCATCTTCATCCCGACGATCTCGTTCCACCTCATCAACCTTTCGTAGAATGAGCAGATCGATGCAAAGTTTTGGTCTCTCTTCCATCTTCTTCGCACGTCAAGTTTCAATTCCCACACGGAGACCTATTACGATCTTTGCTGGATTGATTATCATCATCGGTCTCATCGCGGGCATTACGACTTTCTTGATTCATTTCCTCGATACTGACAAAGAACCATTACCTTGGCGAACATATTGTCAAGAGCAAAGGGAGTTCCCTCACGAGTTTGCAGATAGTCTTGCACCAGTCAATGTCTTTGTCGGCGTCTTTTCGATTGACTCGGCGTACGAGAGACGGCACTTGATCCGATCCACTTATGCTAGGCATTCGAGACCTATCGATCCTACGACAGGTAGACCAGCTCATAACGTTCAATTGAAGTTTGTTTTGGGAAAACCTAGAATTCAACACGCTAGAAGGGTTGCTCTCGAAATGGAAACGTTTAATGACATTGTAATTCTTGAGATTCCGGAAAACATGAACCGTGGTAAAACATATGCTTACTTTCGATGGGCATCAGAGAATGCTACGATTCCTTTCTACTATCATTCGACATCCTCAGGAGATACAAATGAACCATTACAACTCGAGGCCGGCGACCAGAAGCCTGACCAAAAGGTTTCAGTTGGGTTTAGAAAGGCAGATTTCGTGGTCAAAGCTGATGACGACGCCTTTATTGTTTTGAGAGAACTCGAACGCCATTTGAGGGTTGCGCCAAGAAACAAGACTTATTGGGGCTGTAAGTCTTGGATCTTCTTTTCTTTTTCTATGATTCAAGACTGAAAGATCTTCATCTCTCCGTACAGATCTGATCCGCAATCTATTCATGGGAGGAGAATGCTACGCACTGTCTTCTGATCTCGTAGATTACGTGGCAAGCTCAGCATCAGTTTTGAATCACTTGACAGGAGCCGAAGACAAGAAGGTAGCAAAATGGATGAGAATCCATCCTAACGCCACATCGATCAATTGGGTCACTGAAAAGTGTTGGATCTACGATCATCCCAAAGCTGGCACGACTTATGCTCACGGCTTCCTATTCCCTGATGAAGTCAGGCGAGTCAGGGAAGAAGGAAAACGAGGCTTGACTGAAGCTGAACTTCAATTAAGGGGTTACGACTGGCCACAAGCTTACTCTACTGTGACGAGATGGAAAGAAAGGTATCTTCCTCCTAGGAGTCGGATGACGATGGAAGAAGAGGTTGAGGATCTCGTCGAAGGAGGCGGTAAATTCAATCGCACCGATTGGAGATCATCTGACATTGATCAAAAGCCCTTGGTACGGATCGATGAAGTACTTTTTGAAGCGAATGATCAACGATTACAACTACCGACGATCTTAAGCACCTTACCAGAAGACGAAATGAGAACAAAAGGAGTCACTGAACACGGTGCCTTTAGCAGCGGTGCTCACTCTAGTAGTGCACTCTTGAGCTCTAGCGCCCACCACGAACCATCTATCCCACTGAAGTTTGGTCGACCACCTAGTGAACTCTTGACACCTTTACCGGCTTATGAAGATTTACCTGAATCAGATTTTAAACAAGCACTTGGAAGAGTAGCGAAAGATAATCAACGAGTCGAATTAAATCACAAAGAAAACAAGATGATTGGATTACCAGCCGTCAGATTCGATGAGGATGAGAATAGATTAAGAGAGATTAGGTTTGAAGGACGTAAGAATGGAGGCACGGTAGTAGTTCATTATCTCAAGCGAAATGAATGGTTTTTGGAAACTCAATTAGTACTCTTAGGCAAATCATATACATGGGACTCGGGACTTGAACCCATGGATCACATTACTAGGATTGAAAAGGCCGCGATTGGAACCAAGAACAAGTTAGAAGTTATCGAATCTGGGAATGAAAGGTTCGGAGGTGCTAGAATGTATGGTAGTCCTTTAATTGAATTAGATGGGACTATCAAAATGGGTGAAGCAAGTAAACTTGAAGAAGTTGAAGAACCTGATTTAGCGATAAGGAAAACTATCGAAGGTGGAGCCGGTTGGGTTAGAGGTAAACCTAGAGTTAGAGTTAGTGATTTAGAGAATGGACCCGATTTTAGTTTAGGAAAGGAAGAAGAAAAAGAAGATGAGAAGGAAGAAGAGAAAGCAGTAGTGGAAGAAGAAACGACTGAGATTGTAGAGAATTCAGAACCTTTACAGTCACATTTAACATCAACACCTCTATCATCATCATCATCGTCATCACCATCACCATCATCTTTACTACCAACATCTTTAACTGCAACAGTTTCATCAGATCTGTCAAGAGGAGTAGATCAACAGATTAGATTGCCCGATGATCAAAGTGAGATTTTGAATAATCGTCCTACTTTGGAACATCATCAACCTCAATTTAATCTTAACAACACTGGTATTGATATCTGAAAGCTTTGTTGTTAAAGAAGTACATGATGAGGTTCTTCTCGTTATCAACTTTTTGATCTACATTTGTTTTTCAAACATTCTTTTTTTTTCCTTTGGTTGGAATATATCATTAGCTTTTTTATTTTCTTTCTTTTAACTTTTTTTTTTTGATTTCGATCCTTTTACTTTTTTTATCTTCTCTCTCCTTTTTTTTGTAGAAGTGATTTGTTCTTTTTTTTGCTCTTTTGATATGAAAGAAGATTGAAAAAAAAGACTATTTTTTTTGGCAGAAATCATTTGGTGCTGATGATGGTGTTGAGAAACATTAAGAATGAGAAGAAGAGAGTTTTTCTTTTGTTGGAAGGAAGTTGTGATGTAATTTTTTTTATTTATATGTAGAATTGTTAGAGGTTTATTGTTTTTTGCTTTTTTCTCAATTTCTTATAATCAGAACATTGCAAATAGTTTGATAAAATTTGTTTTTTTTGAAAGGATTGAAAAAAAATCAAGAAATAGTGTGGGCCACATGGCATCAAGTTTTTTCAGCTTATTGTTTTCTTGATGATATGAATGAACCCTCCTTACCAATATAAACTTCCAACAATTGATGAACCAACTGGTTTGATCAGTTTCTTTTTCAATGCTATAAACTTCTCTTGTCACTCTAACCCAAAAGAAACCAATAGGGTGTCTCAGGTCAATATTCTTAAGAAAAATTGGGAAAATCTTTTTACTGTACTATGCTGTAAAAGGATTTCCCATTCTGTAAAACAAGATGGTCAGTAGTGGTCAACAGCAATCAACAGCTTCTTGAAAAGTCATTGATCCATAATCTGTTTTCTTTTGTGGGTGTTTGATAATACATTGATGGTATTAGACTTGACACCTTTCCCTTGCCTGTTTTTACCTCACATTGTTTATCTAATGTTTTTTCTTCTATAGTTATTTTTATTTTCTGATCACTGTAAATTAAATAAAGATTGCACCCCCCCTGTTTGGTGTCCAGATTAGGGCTGTGACCCGGCCCTAGGGCTTTGCCCAACCCTGAGTGAAAGTGCTCAGGGCCAACCAGGGCACACCCTGAGCTCATTATAGGTGCTAAAACCCAGCAATAAGGTGATTATTTTGAAGTTTATTACATGGTTATGTGTTTGAAATGCTTTGTAGAAGCTATATGAGCCTACATCAAAATTGAAAAGAGCTATAGGAGGAAATTTAAAGAGAAAAAGTTTGTTGCCACAGCAAAAATAGAGCGGGTCTTGGAAGGCCCGGCCCCGCCTGAGGTGCCCGCAGGGCTTTCATTGCCCTAATCATGTGTCTCAGGGCACGTACTGTGTGCCTCCAGAGAGACGCCGGGCAGGCTTGGCCGGCCGGGGCCAGGGCCGGGTCACAGCCCGTCCAGATCCCCCCCCAATCCTAGGTCTGCTTAGGTACCCTTAAGCACCTTGCATACAGGACAGCCTCAAACACGCGCCTGACAGTCAAGAAGTCCTATTTTGCCTCCTGATGCAAACAGGGATGCAGGAGTGAGTATGAGTTTACTCAGTAAAGTGAGTATTATTGAGTATACTGAGTATTTTTGCCTATTTTTGGCCCTGAAAACCCGTACAAAGTGAGTATCATTTGAGTATATACTCATATGGATGCAAATCAATCATTGATCTGCACCAATATCAACATGAACAATTCCACCACCATGGTCATTGACCATTCCTTGACAGGTGGCACCTCAGAGCCAACACTCAACAGGTCAACCTTATCCAACTCCAATAATCCTGTTTCCAAACATATGAATCTTGAGTCCCTCCTCTCAGTCTCCCCAAGCCTGGAAGAGGCTGAAGATGCACTTCAAGAGTGTGCTACCACTTCTGGTTCCTTCCTCAAAAGAAGATGCTAAAAAAACAAAAAAAATGAAGTATGCAAAGTTGTTTTGTTTTGCATGCACGGAGGTGTTTATCAGCCCAATGAAGATCAAATCTGACAAACATCTAGCCACTTGATTGATTGCCTTTGGTCATGTCAAATATTGAGGAACTCAACAACTCACAAGTGGAAAGTGAAGATCACAAATGATTCACACAATCACCCCCCTTCAAAGACGCTAGCTGACATACCAGGAGCACAACATCTCACAGATGAACATCAACAAACGGTCATTGACATGTTCAAAGGAGGCACTAGTCCCACAGTCATCTTGAGCACGCTGAAAGTTTCCAACCCCACTATCCTAGTAACACCACACAATATCTACAACATCGAACAAACATTTTGTAATGAGATCCTTCAGCACCAAACATCCCTTGGAGCTCTACTCAACAAACTTCAAGGGTGCATATCATGCTTACCACAGAAATTCTTCAGGGTCTCTCACCTGTGTGTTCATTGCACCAGAAGTTTGTGTATTAAATGTCCAGGAGCTTGCCACTTGTGATATTCTCTTAATGGATTCAACGTATAAGACAGACAAGTAAGTTCTCACCTCCCTTGTACCAAAAGATGGACTTTAGCTGATTTTGTCTCCTGCTTGTCTTTATGTAAGATATCATATGACACTTCTGCATATTGTGGGAGTCTCTCCAACGCATAACTCACTCTCCTTGGGCTTTTGTTTTATGCAACAAGAAACAGAAGAACACTATAAATGGGCTTTGGACCACTTGAAGATATGCTTTGGCTCACTATTGACCAAGCTAGGTGCTGTAGTCATGGATTGTGAGCTAGCAGTCATGTGAGCAATAAACAATTACAGGATACAAAGTAGAATCGGGGCATGTGCCCAGCTTTGTGCCCAGATTTCTTTTGGCAGTAAATTTGAATTCTGGGCCTGGAATTTTGCTCAGAATATTTCCGGGCACAAAGCCGGGCACGTGCCTGTATTCCACTTTGTATCCCACAAATGTCTTCCCCCATGCAAAGAACCTCCTTTGCATGTGGCAGATCAAAAAAATATGCTTTCAAACATCAAGAAGGGCATGTTGGACAAGTATTGGGACACTGTCCTTTCTGAGTGGCAACTTGTATGTAATTCAATCTCTCCCAAAAGCTTTGAAGACCAAGTTCAAATCCTCAGATCAACAATCACCAACAAAGCTTTTAACTATCTAATGAAAACCTGGATCCCACACAAAGGAATGTTTGTGCTTGCCTGGACCAAAGGTGTCAGACATTTTGGTCATACAGTCACATCTTGCGCTGAAGGGGCACATGCAAACATCAAAATCTCAATATTGGTCTCAACAGGTGATCTGGCTAATGTATACGATAGGCTTGTTCTTGCGTGTGAGCTTTGACAACACAAAGTGTCTCAAAAGATTGACAATCAGAAGTCACACTTGCTGAGACATCTTGTGAGTGGATATAGAACTTAAAGTTTAAGGTACAGAAGGAAATTGATATTCAATTGAACTCCTGTACAGAAACTCATCAAACTCTTGGTACTGCTGTCATAGATAAGTTTTTGACAGGCTCAGGACACCAACCAGCCATAGGATAGGTGGTAGAAAACCCTTCTCTGATAGGCAGTCCACGGCCTACGACCCCCCATACGCGCCAGGTCAGAGCCTTAACTAATGAGGTTAGGAATATACAGGTGAACTGATAAGAATCACTGATTGGTGATGAGAGTAGCACTAACGGCTAATGGATCATGTATAAGTGATCAAGAGCAGGTTAGCACCTGTTGAAAGATGTGAAGCAAAAGAGATAACACAGTTGAGTGACGAAACATAACAACACACACAATGAGGCTCTTTAAATAGCGGAAAATTCTCTAGACATAGGTTAACAAACAGACATCAGGTTGTGACTCTCACATGCTGCATTGGGATAAGATAAAACAATCAAAGGTAATGAGTAGGAGAAGAGAGAAAAGTTGTTCAGTGATGCTAAGACCAATGCCAAAAATGGTTGCAAGGATGATCAGTTAGGGATGATAACAATTCTTGATTTCAATATTAACAAGGCAAAGAACTGATAAAGATTTCTTGAAAGGAAAAGGTAGAAGTGCTTTTGACAATAAATGAACAAGTCAGGGTCCAAAGATGGACTAACCCATATACAATCACATCCCTGATGTCATGATTTGTTTTGCTTAAGGGTCTTGAATCTTCTACAAGAGAAACTGATTTGTTTGAGGTGTTGGAAACTAAGTATCCAAACTTGGTTACCTACATTTTTGGGTTTGAGCAGGACCCCAGAATTCCCCTATAAAGGGTAGTCACAAAAAAAGTTCTTTTTGAGATCTCTCAGGGCCTTGATTTCCTACCATAACCCATAATTACATGTAATTATCAAATAACCTCTACAATCTTAAGACAACTTGATTCAAAGCAAGAATCAATTAGGAAAACACTCAAAGGGTACTTTGGCGAGCCACTAGCTGTTCCTCGGCACTGATGAGCTAGTTTCAAGTATTCAAAGTGTCTTAAACTGGTGTTTAGCAAAGGTCAAACAGATGAGAGGAGGGCAATGAGAGGGCTGAAAACCAAAGGAGGTATGTGTAACCCCATGGTGGAAAGCCCTGAGAGAGCTCAAAAAGGACTTTTTTTGTGACTACCCTTTGTAGGGGTATTCCAGGGTCCTGTTTGAGCTGATTTTTTTAGGTATGTGCAGGAGTTGGAGTTTAAGATTGATAGAAGTATAAATTAAAACAATATTTGAAAATTGATTGCTAGCTTACCCAAAGCCCGCAACGGTAGGCTAGAGTCCATTATGTAACATAAAGGGACAGGCTATGAAGCGCGTGGCACCCCCGAGAACCGGGAAGGCTTCAAGGCTTGGGAGAATCCTTGAAACAGAAGAGAGAAAGAATCTCATCCTCTCTTTACGGTGGCTCTAAAGTGCCACTTGAGTCACATCGTCAAAAACCATAAAAATGATGTTTCCAACCGCAAAAAAGCCCACCTGGACAGTTATGTTTGTACGCTATACCATTGGGTCATACAGACGTCTGTATGGCCCAATGGGGTTCGACTTCCCCTGCTAAGATGATTGATCATCTTAAGAAGGATCTTGGTGACCTCCAAATTTGGCTAAGTCCAACTTTCCCTTAACGAAATTAACAGGTAGATCT